TATTATTTTTATATATATTTGATATATTTTTATTTTATATTAAATAGATTGCTTTAGAAATGGCCCTGTGTCCAATGAGATTCACTGGTGCTCTTGTCTTTCTTTTCAAGGTCTACATGTCATACTTGATTGTACACATGAATGCAATTTCATTTCTATTAGCTGGTCCTTCAAAGAGTCCAAATATAATTATAAGTTGTCTGACAGGTTTGACTTTGATCAGTGTTATGTCATTGATGTTTTGATGAGCAGAGATGGACTGGCGATCAAAGCATCTTCTCCAACCAGAAACATTACGATTTCGAAAAAGTCAGCAAGCTCTTTTAGCTAAAACAATGGGGTCCTACACAAAAACAAATAAAGAGATCTCAGTGTTTTTTTTGTCCATGCAGTAAGTCAGTGGAGTCCAATGTTGTTTTCAAACCCCACTGGCTTTCATTGTGTGGCAAAAACAGTTCTTCAAAATATTTGAAAAAAAAGTCTTGTGTTTGAAACAACATGAGGAACAAGTTTTTTTTAAAGATATATATTTTCCTTTAAGATCATTCTACTCAAAACGACATTTGTGTAGTTAGTAAGTGTGCTGCAAGATAATGTGGGATAAAACATTCAGCAAAATGATACAGTAGTCAAGTAGTTACTTAAATAGAAGTATATTTTCTGCAGTGTAGCTTAAAAAACCTGTTGCTTCCAAATTTCCTCCTTATTTCCAAGCGCAGCTTGAGCTTGTGGTTGATTGTGCAAATGAATGTCCATGACCGGCTGGAGGTGGGCGGCCCAGCGGGGTGTTTAGATCCCGTTTATCTCTCTCTCACATGCACACATACAGTTGCACCTCATTAGTCAGTTAATCTCAGTTCTCGTGACTCCTCGTCCAGATTTAAAAGCAATCTGGTGGTGTTTTATGAAGACTAATGAGAGATGATGAGGTCTGTACTCTCTAGTGATGAGCAGAAATCAATGCATATTGAGCAGCAAAAGGGTACAATGGTGATATGGTCAAAAAACTTATAGGAAGATCCTTGCAGGGATCGATCCAAACGCCACACCACCAGCACGCAACTGAAGATAAAGATTTTTTTAATATGCAGAATGTCATATAAACATGAATAGGGAGAAAGAAACATTTTCCCTATTTTTTTTGTCAGTTTAAACTATCATATTTTTGGCATAAATTCATCTGTCACTTGGTAGAAACAGGTTGTGTGACAGATTCTGTTTGTTTTGGGCTTGTGCAGTTTATGCTAATATTATATTTTCAGTGATTATTTAAGGACACTATCGGTCAAAAAAGTTTGGGATCAGTAAAAAAACAAAAGAAATTAATACTTCTATTCAGCGAGGATGCATTAAATTGATCACAAGTGACAGTGCAGATGAATGTTACAAAAGGTTTCTATTGCAAATAAATGGTGTTCTTTAGAACTTTCTTTTAAAGTAAGTAAAGAATTAAAAAACAATTACCACAGTTTCCACAAAAATATTTAGCAGCACTGTTTTCAACACTGATAATAATAAGAAATGTTTATTCCTGCTGTGGTGTATGGAAGCATTTGAGTTGGCAGGGCACTTCTACACTTTCATAACAGCTTTTTAGAATGTCATATAAACATGAATAGGGAGAAAGAAACATTTTCCCTATTTTTTTTGTCAGTTTAAACTATCATATTTTTGGCATAAATTCATCTGTCACTTGGTAGAAACAGGTTGTGTGACAGATTCTGTTTGTTTTGGGCTTGTGCAGTTTAAGGACACTATCGGTCAAAAAAGTTTGGGGTCAGTTTTTAAAAAAAAAAAGAAGAAATTAATACTTCTATTCAGGGAGGATGCATTAAATTGATCAAAAGTGACAGTGCAGGTGAATGTTACAAAAGGTTTCTATTGCAAATAAATGGTGTTCTTTAGAACTTTCTTTTAAAGTAAGTAAAGAATTAAAAAACAATTACCACAGTTTCCACAAAAATATTTAGCAGCACTGTTTTCAACACTGATAATAATAAGAAATGTTTATTCCTGCTGTGGTGTATGGAAGCATTTGAGTTGGCAGGGCACTTCTACACTTTCATAACAGCTTTTTCAAATAAGTATTGTTGCCTGGAAACACATCGTCCTCAAGGAGGCCTGTGAATATAAAAATGTCACTGTAACAATGAAAAGTGTTTTTGTAAGCCATTTGAAAATCACACAATTTTGTCTTAGACCATTAGTCCAGTATCACGGTCTAGTTAAGCTTCATTCTCCATTAAGAACGAGCCATCTGAGACAAATCGTGAATGATTGTTTGATGATGCGTCACACTCATTTAAATTCTTTCGGATGGAACGTGTGTCATTAGGTTGATACTACTGACGTCTGCCAGATTATGTCAGAGTGACGGATAGAGATCCAGTCATCACACAACACTGAAGCACTTATTCTCGGCAGCTGAAAATTAATAGACATTTTGCTTGGAGTACCTCACTAGGGTTCTGGAAGTAAAAATACTTTTAATTTTATTCAGGGATAAATAGCTTTTTAGCTTTAAAGGGGTCATATGATGCTATTTAAATTTTTCCTTTCTCTTTGGAGTGTTACAAGTTCTTGGTGCATAAAGAAGATCTGTAAAGTTGTAAAGACTAAAGTCTCAAATCCAAAGAGATATTCTTTTATAAAAGTTAAGAGTCAACCACTCCTACCTAAAACGGCTCGTTCTATCTGTCTATGTCACGATGTGGGAAGATTTGCATAATGCCGCCCAAATGTTCACGCAAAAAAAGAAGGCATAACTTTAATTCTTGCTGTTGCCGCCGCTGCCATGTTGTGGAGTCGCTGTGTGTTTCGTTGTGAATGCGAAACTACTTTGTTTGGTCTTCCAAAAGAGGACACAACTAGAAATCAGTGGTTAAGTTGTATTTACAACACTGTTCCGGAACACTTCAACCCAAATATTCAGATGTGTGCTGCGCATTTTATGGAGGATGAGGACTGTTTCCTGATCCAGTAGCCTACAATGCGTCTGTGGCACAAAGGCTGTTTCTGTAAAGTTAGGCAGTTCCAACTTAGCAAGGACAGTCTGGCGCTTCTGACTCACAGCCTGTAAGTACGTTTTTTTTATATTTAAAGAATTTGCCACGGATGATTCAAATGTGAGTTTTGAGCAGTGTAGAGTAGCGCTTGTTGTTTGTCGTTTCTCCGATCACAAATGCAGACATGGTTTTATGTTTACGCAGCGCGATACGCAACGCAATGCGTAAAAAGATGCCTCATTTGTAATGGGTTTTATTGGTTTTGTCTTGTCGCACCGGGAGACGGCATCACAGTATGTTAAGGGGCGTAACATTTCCGTCACACGCTTGAGGCATTCGGCCAATCACAACGCACTGGATAGCTGGCCAATCAGAGCACACCTCACTTTTTTCAGACCGATGAGCTTTGTAAAAATCGACGTGTTTCAGAAAGGCGGGGCATAGAGGAGAAACAATAATGTACATTATATGGAAAATAATATGTTTTTTGAACCTTAAACCACATAAACACATTGCATTACACCAAATAATTTACTTAAATTTTTAGCAACGTCATATGACCCCTTTAACATATAACATTTTAAGGAATACCTAGCATGGCATGAGCTCCCAGGTTGGAATGCAATGGAATATGCTCCTGTAGATGCCATAAGTATACGTTTTTAAATTTTGGCTGATTTCCAGTGTAATGGAGAAATGCAATACATTTTAATGACAGCAAAAGATATGTTCACTGGGTTATTTACATTATCCTATAATATTTACTCAAAATTCACAGTTTTGAAATTCCGTTGATAAGGCTCACAGACTAAAGCTAAACCCATAAATGTATTAATTAAAATAAACATTATCTAAAATAAAATATATATTAAAAAAAACTAGTTGCCAAGACAACATTGCTTATTTTCTTTGAAGTACTAAAATAACTTTTAAAAAAATGCAATTTAATAAAAACGATAAATAAATAATAAAAATATCAAAAAGACAACAAAGTTGCTACAACTTAAAGTAATATTAAAATAAAAAATTAAGCAAACTATTAAAAAATTTAAAATATATAAATATTTTTTAATTAATAATAATAATAAAAAATAATGTAATAAAAAAAATAGCAAAAAAATATAATAGTAACACTGTAAATATAGTGTTAATATAAAAAAATAACACTCATCCACGATGAAATCCACAAGCACTTTGAAAGCACACACACACCTGCTGCTGACCCAGTTTCCTTCTGCACCCCACAGGGTGAATTACAAAGAAAATTGAGGGATTTATAGAGAATAGGAGCACATATGAAAAACTATTATTGAAGAGAAGGAGCTGAGATTATGATTGCATCTGTGGACCGATTTGAGTCAATCAAGCGTGTTTGTACCGATGACTGATTTTAGAGTCTCTTGAGTGCTTGAGAGTCAGTCAAGGATATGAGGCAGACTAAACTCAGTAGCATTGATGTCATTTGGTACTTTTTACCATTGAATGTTTTCGAGGCTTCAAGGAATTTTCAGGTTCAATACAAGTAAAGCTCTATCAACAGCATCTGCTGGATGCTTATACGTCATATCCTTCGGTTCTATCCTTGTACGTGTGATGTGAAAGTTTCCAGGTTTACTGGCTTTGCATGTAAACATGACAAGTTGAAAATAAATAAATGGATATACATTAACCTTAATTTTTTAAATATTAAAATCAACATCATTATGAATTTTTAAAGGGGCATAATAATATTCTTTATCTTCAGAAACAACAACACCAATAAAAAAACATGCAGGTGTGGCTTCAGAGGAAATTATGACTTTGAATGAACATCATTTCCTTCACCTGCCATTAACACCTGATGCACTACTGCATAATGATTTTTAAGGCACATTAATATTCAAACACATGGCATGTGACATGTAGCACTTCAGGGCACTAGAAAAGTTAGTTTGTGCAGGGTAATATAATTTGTGTTTTTTTTATTCTTTCAACATGTCTTTTCTATTTTCTCAGCAAACAAGTGCCCCGATCACATAGACTGTGCCAGAAAGGGGCGGCACTTCTGCAAGCCTGGCTCCTCCAACTGTGGCCCCTGCCTCACCCCATTAAAGGAAGATGAAGCAGGACATTGTGTTGTTCGCAGGACACACTCTCCCCAGCACCACCATCACGGTACGAAGGCTTTCACACACCCACCATACCCACCTTCTAGCTACTGTGTCATGATTTATTTTGCAAATATTGTCTAATCTGGCCTGTACTTGGGTGCTCGTGCATCAACAAACTGATTCAGGCGACACACAACCGTTTTCTCGAGCCGAATAATGTGCATTCATTAATCGAACCCTCGGCCTGTGACTAATGCCATGGTGAAAGAGGAGATGATGTTGATGGCTTAGAGCGCAGATCCTCCCATCATCTGGCCTGTGCTTTTGCTCTCGTTTCTCTCCTCTCTCTCACTGTTTTTATTGGTTTTATGGTGAGCATAATGCTTAATCTCTCTCTCTCTCTCTCTCTCTCTCTCTCTCTCTTTCTCTCTCTCTGTCTCCTCGTGTGGCTGGGACACATGGCTGAATTTAATCAGATGGATTGTAAGCGTGCACGCATGTGTCTGTGTGCTGCCTTGGCTTTAATGTAATTTCATGTGAGTGCTGCTCTAGCAGAAAGAAATTGCACTCTTTTTTTAAATCTATTGCAATACTGTAGTCATAGGTTTTTCTTTTGTGCAAAATATTTTTTGTCATCTTTAGCAATATATTATTTTTATATGTGTGTATATATATATATATATATGTATTTTTTTTTTATTATATATATCAATTATAATTTTTATTATTCATTTATTAGGTTTTAATTTACTATAATTGCGGAAAATCTGTGACTATTATAATCGTGGTCTAAGCCATTTTCCATTCTTCGCCATTTCCACAGGAGTCATGCACAAAAGGATTTGAAGCATAAATCCATAAACTTACAGCATAACAGCGTCAGGTTACAAAAACAATAGTTCTTAAGTTTGATTTTTGAAATTAAATATTATTTTAACAATTTCATTGGTCAAAAGTCTAGAACCAAGCATCCTTCAGATAAAAAAAAAATGAAACCGCATGAAATTTACTAGTTATGTAATGTGATACAGTATAAATATTCAAAATGTGCATATATTAAAATACAAAATGTCACTCTTAAGATCCAGAAAAATTTTATAAACTTGTTATTAATGGCTCTGACAACTATAAAGTAGTTCCATGACTGCTTTAAATTCATAGTTTTGCTGAAAAATACGATTACACATGGCAATTTCTTTTTAATGTTTACAAGGGTGATAAAAAGGAGTGCCGTTGGTACCAATGTCTCATCTTAAGCAAATTACATTTATTATACATTTTAATATTTATATGATTTGATAAAATATATATATCCATATATCATACATTTGACAAAACCTCATCTCTTATCTTTGTTAGCCAGCCAGCTAAATTTACAGTAAACACAACTGTATCTTCTCTCTCTCTCTCTCATACTCTGCTCTACCTTTCCTGTAACGAGTGATTCAGCTCTCCAAACACTGGCCTGCCTCTCTGATGAAGAGTGTGATAAAGGGCTGGTTTCATTTCAAGCGATTCATTTGTGTAGCTAGAGCCTGCGTGTTTCCAAAAATATATTTAAAAACAGTAGCGTTTAAATGTGTTTAGTGTTTAACAGTGCATTTGACATCATTATTGATAAACAGAGATATAATAATGAAATGTTAGCCACTCTGTATTCTCAAGTAGAATAGTTTTCCTTGGTTTTTAGAGCAGTTTTGTCTCTTATACTCTCACCTCTGGCCTTTTGAAATGCTTTACAGGACAGTCTTAAAGATTGAAAGCGATAGTGAATCAATGTTAGACCAAGGTGGATCCTGCTGTTAAAGAGTTTACTGATCAAACAGTCACAAGTCTCTTTGCTTTAATATTGTCACGAGTGAACAACACTGGGTGTTTTAGAGATTTAAAGAACAGTAAAAATTCATGTGGATTTTTATACCCCATAATGTATTTGAAATCCTGATTTTTTTTCCTGCCCTTGAATTTGGGCCACATTGAGGAGGTATTTAACAGCCATCAACTAAACCGAAGCGTCTGCGACTAATCGTCATCCGTCTATGTAGGTCAGCAGTCTCATTTTTGCTGCACTGTTTGGACGGAGAGAGAGACACCAGAGACCAGGACTGTCTGGTTGTACTATTTTGGTGTTAAAGGCGAAATATGTAATTTTCGCCGCTAGAGGGCACGTATTCAAAATAAACAAATAGACAAAGGCGTAGTTAGATGTCATGGGAGTTGTGGTCTTCATCCCCACAGCCGAAGCAATCCGACGGGACTCAGGCAGAAATCATGTTCATGGATGAGCTAATGATTTATTAACATATTAGAATGAAGCAGAGTGAGGCTGAAAGCCGTCGAAGCGAAACGAGGCCGCTGAACGAGCGTGACACACGGCTCGAAAGCAGCGGAGCTTTTACTATGCCACAGTCGACCGCTTCCACTCCTTCTGGTCGTGTGTATGTGGGGGAAAAAAGCAGCGCTATTTTATCATACTATTTGAAAGTTCTGTTATAATGTTACTCTGTGCGGTAGTCACCCGTCTAATAAAATGCATAGCATATTAAAGCGTCTTTGGTGTTTCCATGTTTTCTACAAAACATTTATTTATTTATTTTTATTAAGTACAAAATCTGAATACAACAAACTGGCATTAATTAGTATACAAAAAAGATTCTGGTATGGCTCAACACAATAGAATCATCGTAAGCTCCAGACAAATCATATAACAAAACATTCCAAGAAACATAAAATATCAAATAAAAATAAATTAAATAATAAAAAATACATAATTACGACAAATTATGTAATACAAACAAATTAAGTAGTTTTACTGCTTTTGGATTTTTCATTTTACTAAGGGCATCTGAGAAGTATTTTAGATCAATTTTAAATACAATAAACAAAGGAGGGGATTGTATGAAGTATTTTGCTAATAATATTATTAATCAAATCGTACAAAACCGAGCACTCTTTGGTTATTCCGTACATTACATCTTGTAAGGTTAGAGTGAAACCATCAGCAATCACACCCTTCTCTACCATCCAGTCCTGCAATGCTTTCCAAAAAGACTGCGACAAACTACATGTAAAAAAATACATGTTCTGTATCTTCAACGAAATGTTTGCATAAATAACATGGCTCATTTTCTAAATTAAATTTTGAATGTAGAAATTTATTGGAGGGATATATCTCATTTAATATTTCGGAAATCGAGGGGTTAGGACGTCATTGGCAGGCGACACAATGACACTATGGACACGCTCGTGTCACTAGTTAAAATTGCTTATTTCTCTGGATTTAAACATTCTTCGAAACTTTTGGGATAATGTAAATACGCAAGTCAGCAAAATATATAACACTGTTCTAGTAGTTTTGGGATATTTTAATAAAAAAATCTTATATATTGTGCCTTTAACTTGCATGTCAGTATATCACATAATACATAATAATTGTATCTTTTTTTTCTTTTTTTTAAGCGTTGAGTTGTATTGATGTGTCATCACTACATTTGTTTTTTGATTTGAGCTGTCAGTCCTCTGACCAATGATAATCACTGACCAATGCACTTAATGAAGTCACCACTAGATGGCAGTATAATCACGTCCAAAACTTAAAAAATAGCCTATATATTGCTGCTTGGTTTCAGATGCATGTCAGAGCTGTTGTAGCTGACTTGTTATAGAAAGCTGCATGATAAACTAACAAAAGTCAGGAGTCCGAGAAATTAGTGTGTCCCGAATTATAGTATGCTGAAAATAGTTGGAACAGGAACATTTTTAATATGCTTTTTCGGGAGGATTTTGGAAGTATGCATTCATGCATTCTTTTTTTTTTTAATTGCTTGTTTTACATGCATGGTCTATGGTATCAAAGCATAATTTTGTGATGGCATAATATGTCTTAATATTGCCATTCTAAAAAAACTAAATTGGTGTAGAAACAATTTTCACTCAGAAATTGCTAATAAATTTCACCGTTACACAAAAACAGCAAGTAACACATTGACTTAAACATGAAATTTTGAAATAGTTTCTTCCTGTGATACGCACTCCAATAATCATTTTGTTGTATTTACAGCTTCAAAAAGTCATTTTTTACAGTGTGGATTTTCCCATCACCAGTGAAGTGTACTTCTCGGCCCATTTGTAAATGTATGAATGATTTATTCCAAATTCTGATTTTAAAATGGCCAGTGACAGCAGATGATGTGGACGTGACCTGCGGGTCTTTTACTACATCAAAACAGCAACAGAAAATTACTACATGCTTTTTTTTGTGAAAAAAAGCATGTTTATTTATAAACGTGTTTATGTAAAGCTCTTTGATATTAAATGTATTTGAACATATTTTCAACTCGTGTGCAGATATAAATGGAATGCAGCCATGATGAGCAGAAGAGACTTCTTTAAAAAACATTACAAGTCTTACTGATCCCAAACTTTTGAGCGGTAGTGTACATTTTGAATAATTCTTTGTCATTAAAACATCGAAACTTTTTGACATTAGACTGCTTTTGTTATTTTGATAAGGGTATTAAAGCTGAAACACACATAATTTGACAAATCTTTATTTTTCTTTATTTATCTTTATTAAAAATTTTGTATTAAAAAAGCAAACAGTGGTGGTAAATTGTTAGCATCACCAAACTAGGTAATATTAGTCCTTTTTGCAAATCAGCAGAAATTTTGTTGTTGTAAATAATTTTTATGCCCTTTTTCTCTCTCTCTCTCTCTCTCTCTCTCTCTCTCTCTCTCTTGTTTATGTAAAGCTCTTTGATATTAAATGGAGTATTTGAACATATTTTCAACTCGTGTGCAGATATAAATGGAATGCAGCCATGATGAGCAGAAGAGACTTCTTTAAAAAACATTACAAGTCTTACTGATCCCAAACTTTTGAGCGGTAGTGTACATTTTGAATAATTCTTTGTCATTAAAACCGAAACTTTTTGACATTAGACTGCTTTTGTTATTTTGATAAGAGTATTAAAGCTGAAACACACATAATTTGACAAATCTTTATTTTTCTTTATTTATCTTTATTAAAAATTTTGTATTAAAAAAAGCAAACAGTGGTGGTAAATTGTTAGCATCACCAAACTAGGTAATATTAGTCCTTTTTGCAAATCAGCAGAAATTTTGTTGTTGTAAATAATTTTTATGCCCTTTCTCTCTCTCTCTCTCTCTCTCTCTCTGTCTTTTCACCTCTTTAGATTCTCACTCACAGTCTCCTCCGCAATCGAAGCAGAAGAGTCTGTACAAACCCACAACTGTAGAACCAACAACCAGCGGTCCATTGATCTCAACACCGCAGACCCCTAAATCTCCCCAGCCAGTCACAAACTCGTCCGACCGCCACGGGCCGATCATCTCCCCCCACTCTTCCAGAGACAGCCTGCTAGTCTGTATGTGTCACTAGGTTTTTATCAGATTTTATTTAAAGCCTATTTCTGATCAGTGTGTTTGTGAGCCTGCATCCCTGACAAAGATGGTGTTTTAACAGCAGGCTCATCACATGATGTTACTTTTCTAATTGGCTTGTCCTCAGATGTTAGTACACTGTGAGCCTCTCTGAATTATATGGAAAGTCTCTGGCATGTGTCAATTTACACACTTCATGCACATGCTGTTAATTGAGAATGTCTCATTTCGATGAAGCAAAATGTTCTGTTTGTGACAGTCCTCCTCATGTTTTTTCTTGTCTATCTCTGTTTCTCTCTCTTATAATTGTGTGTGTTTGTAACTGGGAGCAGTGATGATATCTTTATGCATTATTGTGGGATCCATGGCACTCATCATCGCTGCAGTCTGCTGGGTCAGGTAAGTTTTTTTTGTTATTATTATTTCAATTTATCAGTGATACAGTTTGTCTGGTCAAAGCATGATCATGCCACCATAGTGTGTTTTTAACAGACTTCCTGTTCAATCTAATGAACTAATAAAGATAGAAGCCTTTCTAAATTTCAATTTTCAATTTCACTTTTATTGCCGAAATTGTCTTGCATCCCACAATGTACAAAAAAAAAAAAAAACAGCGCATTAGTGCAATCCATTTACAAAAAGTAAAAATTAATTCTGTGGTATTTAATTATTTTAGGGAAAGGACAACAACAAAAAAAGCCATATCTTTTAATTATTTTGTATTGCATATTATAAATATTATAAATATTTATTTATCATTTTTTATATTGTTTAATATTCTGTGGTGTGGTTTTTCATACAATAGTTTGAATATTAATTATAAATATAAATTATAATTTTGTTGTCAGTGCCACCTTCTTAAATTTTGCAATTTTTTTTCCATATTTATATTAATTTTTGTAGTCTTAAATAAGAAAAATAAATATAATTTTAGTCTATATCTTATGTCCTTTTTATATAATTTTCAGTGCCATTTTTTAAAATGTATATTATAAAATTATTTTATCATTTTTATTTATTTATTTTTATTTAGTGGACAAATAATTTTACAAAATTAGGTGTGTATTTCTTTAAAACAATGTACATTTCAGTGTAAATCGCAGTGTTTTCTATTGCCAACTTTAGCCTGATTTTTATTTATTTTTTTACAGGTTGCAGAGAGAAGCTCGTCTGGCTCAGAAAGTTGATTACCCTGCGTTTCATGCTGCGGGCCCCAATCATAATCATACTTCAGTGAGAGCATTCACATTATTCATAGAGTTCACACATCGAAAAATAAAATAAACACTTTGACACTTCTTGTAATATGTGTTTATGACCATGTCTTTCCATGTTTTAGTCTGGGGATACAACTCTGGCTCACAGTGCTCAGATGTATCACTACCAGCATCAGAAACAACAGATGCTTTCAATGGAGAAGTAAGCACAATACATGACCACTTCATTAGTTTAGTCGCTTTAGCTGCATTGTCTCTTCTCAGCTCTCTGTCCTGGTGATTTCCTTTCCACGTTATTTGTGCATTTTTATCGTAAGTCACTTTAAGAGAATGCTGACCAAGAACATGAATGTAAAAATACATATAACGTTCCTTACTCATTTCCTTCCTCCTTATTTGCTTCCACTTTCATGTACATGTATACATTACACTTGCTATGACATTATAACGAAGTTGAAGCAGCCATTGCACTGTGAAAAATATTGATCTACTAAACTTTGCATGCAAGTATCATAAAATGTGTTCTATATTATATCTGTTATAGACATTAATAGAATTATTTTTATTGTGAACACAGACATAAAGCAGAACCTAAAGTCTCAGAGTCTGGGGCCTCATCAGATGAGGAGAATGAAGTGGGAGATTTCACTGTGTACGAGTGCCCCGGACTGGCACCGGTGTGTAAAAAAATTTTTTTGCATTTAGCAGCTCTTCAGCATGTAGTATCTCTATTTAGCATGTGTTTCTATGGCACTATTAATACAAAATAAGTCATATATTTTTTATTCTTTAGACTGGAGAGATGGAGGTGAAAAACCCACTGTTTGACGACTCCACCTTGCACTCCCAGAGAAATCACAAGTGACCTGGACACACACACACACATCTGCATACTTTTAGAATAGGTCTAACACACCTAAAAGCATTCCTCCACAGGGTGAAGCTGCATCTGTTACACCACACACAAATGAAAAAAATATGACCGAAAGAAATTGGTGCTGATGCCTAGCCCCTCAGAACAAAGTGAGAAAAACACCCAAACTAAAGATACTGAAGAACAGATGGTATGTAGTCATTCGGGTAAATAAAAGTAAAAGACAGCAGTGGTTAAACAGTTTTTTTTTTTTACTCCGATGCACATATATGAAATCTGAAAGAACTCTTGCACCGCAAACTCTCAGTGGAAACTCAGACTGGCCTTTTAATGCGGTTTCTTTGCACCACATCTTCATTCTTCAAAACGGGGGTTTGTTTTCTCATCTTTTTATGTCACCTCCTTTTTAAAATAATTTCTCTTTAGGGTCGTGTTAGGAATCTTTATAAGCATTTTCTTTATAAGCAACCAGTCTTCATGTTTTTGGGCAAAGCTGCCTCCAGAAGCACCTCTTCTGATTATTGTGTATAAGAAATACACAGTGGTCTCTCAGACATGTTACTGGTGTTATTTCTCTCCTTATCCAAATATTATTTTCTTATTGTGGACTTTTGGTTGTCTTTATCAATGCTGATCTAAAACAACAAAATATACTTTTTTTGAGATTAAGAATAGTTCTGTTTAATTAAATTTTTTTTGTCACATTTGTAATTTTTCCTATGCATGTTCTTCAATATGAAGTCTCTTTCTCTCGTTGCGTTCTTTTTTTTTTTTTTCTTTGTAACTCAGTAAATATCAAATCCTTTTTTATCTAATGATATAATGGTTGTATCAGGAAATGAAATACTAGTTATACTGAAACAGAGAGACGTTGAGGTTCCTGTGCTCAAATCACTTTAGTGTAAATAAATAAACTTAAATGTATTATATATTACTTCCTTAAAGTGTATGGGTGATGATGTTTTTGCATATGAGCTATAAAACAATCATCAGCTGGGATGACGGTTATGATTCAAGAGCTGCTGTTCTGATACTGTTAATACACTAAAATGCTGTCTTGTTTGGATTAGAGTTTTTTTTTTTTTTTTTTATAAAATATAATATTGCTATAGACCGCATTCAAAAAGTTTGGGGTCATAAAAGATTCCCCTTATGCTCACCAAGGCTGCATTTATTTGATCAAAAAAAATATATATATATAATAATAATAATATTGCTATTTAAAATACACATTTTCTATTTTAATATATTTTCAAATGTAAAGCTGAATTTTCAGCAGTCATTACTATAATCAGTGTCTCATGATTCACCATAAATTTTAATATGCAGATTTTTATTATTATAAATGTTGAATACAGTTGTGCTGCTTTTTTTGTGGAAACTCTGATACTTTTTCATAATTCTTTTATGAACGGACAGTTTGAAAGTAAAGCGTTTCTTTAAAATGGAAATTGAAAAAAAAAAATTCTTACTGACCCAACATTTTGTAATCACAGCTTATTTCCAAGCAATTAAGATGTTCTGTGTCACATAAATTAAATAAGTGGCTATTCAGAGCACAAGTGTATAATAAAGAATTAATACATTTGACTATTCAGTTAGATGACTTTTTATTTTACACTGTGTTTTATAAGATTCATATTGTATTATATATTTACATAAAACCTCTCAAGCAGATTACCATAAGTAATGAATTATATGTGACATTACAGTAAATTACATCACTTTAAATGCACTGGGGCAACTATTCCATAAATCAAGTTGGATCGTATGGATCGTGTTGCATCAGCTAAATGAATATCAAGGACTGTCAAAAGTGTATGTTTGACCTCAAATCATGGATTCTTCTGAATCGCCTGTCAGTGTCTCATTTCTGTTACCATTTGTTTTAGGTTGGAGCTGAAAAAAGCTTGTTCTCTGAAACTGAAGCTGAAATGTTTGTTTGTCCTCTCCAGCTCATCCATCTAAACAGAATGTGGCAAGAGGAGACACAACCTCCCCCAGTAAAGGCTCTTTTCTGCGATGGGCCACTTAACTGCCCCATAAGGTGTGGTTCAGAGGAGCCCATCACAGATCCAGCCTCATTGAGGTGTCTGTGGGGGGAGAGCCATTAAAGGCCATTGTAACTGTGAATGGTGAGGAAGGCAGTCATAGGCCACCCGATCAAGATATGTGGGGAGAGAGGCAGTAGTCATCAGCAGGGTGTCAAAAGCAATCAAAAGGCCATCGGACAGATTGTATAAGTGAATGGGGCAGAGGGAAGAGAGGTCACATACCTGTTTATCAGATACTAAAACCTCTGGGTCAGTTTTATATATGTAAGAAAAAAGTCATTAAAAAATCTGACGCAACCAAACCATTTTTTCATGCTTTGGGCCTACATTAAGTCAGATTAATATATATAAAAATATCTTTAATATGACACAAAAATATATTTCTAGAGTATGCTATAGCATGTAGTACACATGTTGTCTATGGTTCTTTTAAATTATTGTCTAAATATTGCTGCTGTCATTATTATTCAGAAGAATACAATCAACAGCTGAGAATAGAAATAACACAAATCAGCTTCCATATTGGATTTGATAAATTATAATTTGATATCAGTGATATTTTAGTGTCACTGAGAGACTAGTACAGTTTTTTTGTTTGTTTCAGTTTTACATTTGTATTTTTAATTTTTAGTCTAAACATTATTTTATTATTATTATTATTATTATTTAGTCGTGTTTTTGTCATTTTGTTAGTTATTGCCTTTTTATTATATACCCAAAAAGGTGTTTTCATTTTTATTTCAGTTGTAGTTTTACTAACACACCAAGTAACTACATAAAATGTTGCTTTGGCAAATAGTTTAAATAAAAGAAGTTCATTTCTTTTATATTTCTTTTGAATTAAGCCAGTTTAATTAAAACATTTTTATGGTGTTTTTAGTTAATAACCCTGCTTCATACTTCAAATGCCATGATATTAGATATAAAAGTGATATCCGAAAGCAACTGAGAAGTTTAAAACGGTAATTTTACTTAACTTTTTCTAAATATTATGATCAAATATTTTTATGGGTTGTTTGTATAGACACATGTAAGAGCTTCATGATTGCTTTTCCTGTATTTCCTTCCTCCACAGATTGTGATCTACAAACACAAAGCCATCATTTCATCTCAACTCATACTTTACCACATATACGCCCTTTTATCAACAATGACACTTGGTTCTCGCATATATAATCTATAACTCTGATCCAGCTGATATAGATGTAACCTTCTTCTGAAATGTTCCAGAATGCATTACATGTAAACAAGGGTGGGGTGATGCTGTTGCTCCATATTACTGAGCATCCGCTTCAATAATATTCAGTAATATCACTGAATAATGAAGCTAAGAAAAGTTTTGCTGACTATAGATTTTACAGTACACAAGCCTGCTAAAGCAGAGCCACCTGGGAGCCTAATCCTGGTTCTGCCGTCCCTCACTGGGCCCGTGTCATCTCTTTCCACTTTCTCCTCCTCTGTCTGCACTTTACATAACAATCCCCACCCAAGTCCATGGGCCAGCACAATGCCTGCAGCAGTGGTTTGATGTCTTTTAAAAGCTTTGACTGGCCCCAGAGGCCTCCTGTGTGTCCTTTCCTAGGCTTTGTGAGCTGGAGAGATGGACAGCTCAGTGGTGACCTATAGCTCCTGGTCTGCAAGAGTGTGTTTGAAGGCAGGGGGTTGATTGTTCTAGATTTGAGTTGGCTGTGCTTGTGCTGATGGTGTGTGATGCTCTGGGTGGGCGGTGAAACATCGGGAAGACTAGAATGGGAATCAAAGCAGATTGCTGAGGTATACATGCTGCCGTTCAAAAGATTGGGATCAGTAAGATTTTTAATGTGCGGGTTTTTTTAAAGAAGTTTCTTATGCTCATCAAGTCTGCGTTTATTTGATCAGAAATAGGCTACAGAAAGAAACGGTATATTTACTATATAATTTATTCCTGTGATGCCATTACTTCCAGTCTTCAGTGTCACATGATCTTTCAGGAATCATTCTAATATGCTGATTTATTATCAATGTTGGAATGTTGTCATTGTTTTGCTTAATATTTTTTGGGGAACGTGATACTTTTTTAAGGATTCTTTGATGATTAAAAAGTTCAAAAGAACAGCATTTATTTAAAATAGAAATCTTTTGTAACAATACACACTAAAGTTCAGAAGTCTGCACTTTTTTTTTCTTTCCTGTTTTGAAAGAAATTAATACTTTTATTCAGCGAGGATGTGTTAAATTTATAAAGAATTATAGTAAAGACTTATATTGTTAGAAAAGATTTCTATTTTGAGTAAATGCTGTAGTTTTTATTAATCAAAGAATCCTAAGAAACGTATGACAGGTTCCAAAAAAAAATGAAGGGGCACTTATTATTCTAAGAACGATCAAATATCCAGTTTTTCTCTTTTTTTTGTAATTAAAATGTTAAAGGTTATACAAAATGCATTTTTTAGAACATATACAGTCCTTCTGATAAGATTTTCTCTCAACATCATGAGAACGTTCAAATAACACCATAGTTTTCATTTTTCACATTTTCTCTCAACTTTTTGAGAATATCAAATATTAATAAAGTTGTAAGAACGATACATAAACATTACATTGAGAATATTCTGTCCTTATATACTTTTAAACGTCTGTAAAAGTTGTGAGAACGTCCCAGTTAGCTGGAAAGGTCCTAGTATTTTTATTTATTTCGGAAAGACGTTTAGTCAGCTGAACATTTGGTATATTGTGAAACAACAGCATAGCCTACAATCCACTGAAAACACTGTACTTGTATCCCTCACAGCCTCGGTTTCGTTCCTGTCAAAAATGAAATAGCCTATGGCGCTACCCTGACTGAGGTCTATAACATTAAGACTCCGGTATGTACATGAGACTTTGGGATAGTGTGTCAGTGAAACTTTGTCAAGTGTTTGTTTCAGAGGAGGGGGTAGGGGCGGAATCAAAGGGTTGCGACTTATTGTTCAGTGCTGAAAGCGGCTAATGGCCGGCCATCGCAACTCTGGATCTGAAAGCGGCGGGGGGCCTCGGGCTCTTCTGGCACAATACCTCCCCCATCCACTTTCCTGCGGCGCGTCTTCCTGCCGCAATCTGCACCGATCGGCTCTGTCGGGGGTGCACAGCTGTATCGATGAGTCTGCAGAGCTCTACCAAACCGTAAACCATGTGTAATGAAACAAAAAGCATGAGTATGCGTTTAAGCCTGAACGAAGCTTGCGCTACTTATTATGTCTAGCCTATAGTGTAGGCTAAATATGTTATTTTATATTATTTTAAGTCGTCAAATTAATTTAACCAATTTCTATACTTAATTGTTTAATATACAGGTTTAATAAAATTTGAGTTTATAATTTAGCCTCTCCAGCTAATAGGATTAAAAAGGCAGGAGCTAAAAAAAGATTTTACAGTGCACTAATAAAACCTAAATATAAAGATAATCAAATAAAAGTCTGCTTAGAAAATAGTCTTCAAATCAGGGAGAAAATGCTTTTTTTTTAATTTATTTGGTATTTGTTTATTTATTTTGGGGTGGGTGGGGAGGAATGAGCGATATGGGGAGCACACTTCTGCATTTTGAATATCGGATTATAAAATGTTATAAATTTAGGATTTCACACCATGAATGCGTTTCATTGACTACTGTGTCTTAATTGTCAAAAAAATATTTTACAGTGCACTAATAAAACCTAAATATAAAGATAATCAAATAAAAGTCTGCTTAGAAAATAGTCTTCAAATCAGGGAGAAAATGCTTTTTTTAATTTATTTGGTATTTGTTCATTTATTTTGGGGTGGGTGGGGAGGAATGAGCGATATGGGGAGCACACTTCTGCATTTTGAATATCGGATTATAAAATGTTATAAATTTAGGATTTCACACCATGAATGCGTTTCATTGACTACTGTGTCTTAATTGTAATTGTGCGCATTTATTATTTTCTTACCATTAATAACATTTCGTTGCAAGTAGCTTTAAGCATGTAGCCTAAAATTATTATTTTCGAATTAATTTCTTATTGGCTAAAACTAAAGGTGAACTAAAATGAAATGTTTTTCCACATCACTGCAGTATTAGCCTATTGTTTTTATTTTCAAAATGCTCTTGCATGTATAAACGGCTGCTAGCAGTGACTCAACAAGCAGCGGGAAGGTGGGAGATGTGACGCTTGTAACCCAATTGCTTATCAGCAACAGACAAACATTTCAGCTTTTATTTGTCTCTCTTGGTCAAATAGAACAGCAAAAATACACGTGAATGCAGGTTTACCGATTATACAGTTTTATGATATATTTTGTTTTATGAAATAAAAAAATATTTTTTAATGAAATGTGGTAAACGGAGTTTAAATGTAGCCTATAAAATGTCTCTTAAAACTTGCTGTTCACTTCGTGAACAAGAAAGTGGATTTTCCCACGGATGTCAAGAATTTCAATATCAAGAAAGCTCATTAAGTGCATATTACTGAAACAAAGTTTACTTAATGTGGCATGAATATAATACACACGTGAATACGTAGTGCTATTTGTATTGTAAATACTCAACATGCATAAGAGAAAGCTTAGCCTATTATGCATTCCGTCTTATGAATTTTCAAAGGTTTTACTGAAGGTAAATATTTATTAGGAGTAAATGTATGATTTGTGCACTTTTGGAAAATGCAAATAGCCTATATACAGATACACCTCACATTCCCAAAGACGTCCTCACCCAATGAGAAAACCAAGTTCATTCACAAATTCACCGTCAGCTGTGGCTTATTGTCTCAGGTGACCAATAGGAGAGGAGATGGTTAAGACCCCAGCCTCCAACTCCGATTGATTAGGAAAGCCTGTGTGGGCCAGGATCAGAATTGAGATTGGGAAGAGTTGGTGTTGGTGAGTTACTAGCCGGTTCTGAAGGCCTGATTGATGGCCGTCACACAAGGACTCCGCACATTTCCACACAGGCTGATACTGGCCCGCACAATCTGACGCTTCGAAATCTTTGTTTTAGTAAGTTTGGTATTTCTACAAGAACATCCTGGCATGGAGCTACTGATCGCCGTTTACTGATTATCAAACCAACAGCCTCAACGCTTTTTCGCTTGAAACCTAAAGAACCTTTTTTTTTTTTTTTTTTGAGAAGATGACTGAGAGACCACAGAGCCCGACAGGAACGGACTGCAGACCCTATGAACTCAACAGGGCCATGTACCATCAAGCCCCGGGTCTGGATGGACTTGGCGGTGCGTCCTTGCAGTTCGCGCACGGCATGCTTCAGGATCCAAGCCTGCTTTTTAACAAGGCCCATTTCAACGGAATCAACCCTCTGACACACCAAACTTTCTTCCCGTTTTCAGGCGATTTTAAAACGATCGATCTGCAAGGCAGTGATTTTGCTCACCCCAAACATTGGTACCCGTTTGCTGCACCCGAGTTCACCGGGCAGGTCGCGGGTGCGACGGCAGCCACCCAGCCGGCGAACATCAGCCCGCCTATCGCTGAAACCAGGGAACAAATCAAGATTCCAGCTGAGGTAAAAACTGAAAAGGATGTTGATGAATACACCAATGAAGAAAACAAGCCGACGTCACAATATAATCTCACTCCCGGGACATCATCCGTACCCACCGGGGTGAATTATTACACACACTGGAACCCCTCGTTTTGGCCTGGACTGTCTCATATTACGGCCTCCGCAAATATTTCTCAAGCTCCCCCGACTCCCTCAGCATCATCCCCATCTCTGTCTCCATCTCCACCCGGAAATGGGTTCGAAAGCCCGGGCTTTTTCAACGGAGGCTCCGCGCAAAACATCCCTTCGGGTCAGGCGCAAAGCGCAGCCAGGAGCAGCGGCTCCTCTAGTGGAGGGTGCAGTGATTCTGAGGAGGAGGTAAGGTTTTTGACCTAAATTAAAGGTTAATTTATTTACCTTTGTCGTTTGTGGGTATAATTTAACAACTTTAAAATTTTTTAGGAGAATCTGACTACGGAAGACTTGGAACAGTTTGCTAAAGAGCTCAAACACAAACGCATCACTCTGGGCTTCACGCAGGCAGACGTGGGGCTCGCGCTGGGAAACCTGTATGGTGAGTTTCAGGTCTTTTGACCATTAGGGCTATATAAACGTATGACTGAAAATAGTTTCAAGCTAACGGTTTAAACCTTTGTGTTTTTGCCTAGGCAAAATGTTCAGTCAGACGACTATCTGCCGCTTTGAGGCTCTCCAACTTAGTTTCAAGAATATGTGCAAACTGAAGCCGCTGCTCCAGAGGTGGTTGGATGAGGCAGAGAATTCCGAAAACCCTCAGGACGTAAGTACACTACATTTACTGTAAAGTGCGCTCAAAACGGCGACCTCTGTCGTTGAACTTGATACTATTTTACCTCCGCTCAGTCGCCTGTTTACTTGTACACGCGGTGGCTATGTTTGGAATCAGTGGAGTCGCTATGGGATTGTGGGCCCATTGCACAAAATTTGCTATAGGGCCCCCTCAAAATCACATGCAGTGAGGGGGGACCTCTGGGCCCTAGACACTCTTTCCCCATTTTTCCCCTCGGTTGGTATGCCCATGTTTGAAATAGAATACTAGCGTACTCTTTTATTATGTGAAAATTGATCTTATAACTGTGTATTAAATACTGTAGTATACAGTGAGCTTTCCGGGTGTGATGCATTAGACCATTTCACACTTCCATACTGTATACTTTGTGATATCACCATTTATTTACCTCCGAAGTAAACAAAACTGATTTTATTAAATTTATTTTTATTATGTTGAGTCGTGGCCTAATGGTTAGAGAGTCGGACTCGTAACCCAAAGGTTGCAGGTTCGAGTCTTGTACCGGCAGGGATTGTAGGTGAGGGGAGTGAATGTACAGCGCTCTCTTCCACCTTCAATACCACGACTGAGGTGCCCTTGAGCAAGGCACCGAACCCCAAACTGCTCCCCAGGCAGTTGCATAATTGGCTGCCCACTGCTCCGGGTGTGTTCACTGCTGTGTGTGTGCACTTAGGATGGGTTAAATGCAGCGCACTAATTCCTAGTATGGGTCACCATACTTGGCCACATGTCACGTTTTTTTTTTTTTCACTTTATTTATTTATTTTTATATATATTATAATACACACACACACACACACACACACACACACACATTTACTTTTGCCTCAGCCTTCAGTTTATTTATTTATTGCTATTCGAATTAAACGTTTGGGCACCTCTGCTGTAGAATATCAAGCTACAAGACAACCTCAAAAAGAGTTAATCATGTAATACATATCTGACCGTTCAATACAGTGATTTTTGAATAGTGAGCATGAAGTGTTCCAGAAATGCTTGCATAATTGCACATTGTATAGTTTGTTTTAAATCTCTAATTGCATACATGTAGAACGAGTTTGTCTCTCATGGCTAATTTTTCGATATCTTCCAGATGTACAAAATTGAGCGGGTGTTCATTGACACAAGAAAAAGAAAGCGGAGGACCAGTTTGGAAGGCACAGTCCGTTCTGCTTTGGAGTCGTACTTTGTGAAGTGCCCCAAACCCAACACTCTGGAGATCACTCATATATCTGATGACCTCGGCCTGGAGAGAGATGTAGGCATGCCTCAAAGTCTTTGGATTCATCATATTTAGATCTGTCAGTGCTTCTAGAACCCATTTGACCTAAACGGTGTCCTTTTTTTCTTCTTTCTTTAGGTAGTACGTGTGTGGTTCTGCAACCGTAGACAAAAGGGGAAACGTCTAGCGTTGCCCTTTGATGATGAATGCGCTGAAGCACAGTATTACGACCACAGTCCACCACCTCTGCCCCACATGGGTGGCACAGCCCTCCCAGGGCAAGGCTATCCTGGACCAGCCCATCCTGGAGGAGCCCCTGCCCTATACATGCCTTCCCTCCACCGACCGGAGGTCTTTAAAAACGCCCTGCACCCTGGACTGGTGGGTCACCTCACCAGCTAAACAGGAGCTTGCCAAATTTTAAATAGAGATGCTCCAAGCCAAGCTATGGATCAAATCAGCCTTATGATTTATTTTTATGTAAACATTGCATCTGTTTATTTGGTTCTTTCCATATGTGCCTTGGGAAGCTCTGATTGTATAGTGTCTGGTTTAGACTTGACCTTATACACTAGCAGCCTAATGGGTGCCTTGTTGAACTAATGCGTTTGCACATGAAGTCATAGGTTCAGATACGATTTTTATAGTTTTTATGACTTTTTGCTCCTGTATCAATTTATGTACATATGTTTGTCTTATCATTCAATATTTGATGATTTCCAAAGTATATTTCCATATTTGTCTTCATACTTTGTAGTTTTTCCGCCACATTTCTATGTGAACTGGCAGCAAATTCAAGACTTGGATCTTGTATTTTGACTAATTGATTTTTAAAGAGATGGATTTTTTTTTTTTTTATATCTCTCTCTCTAAATGCTTGCACTCTCCCATCTCCAATTGGAAAATAATTCTAGGTGTAATATCTTTTTATCAGGGTTTTTTATAGATTTAAATTTGCTGCCAGTTTGGTAGCCTCTCTGTGGAGGTCATGTGCCTTATCTTTTTGGTGTGTTTATCATGCATGCTCATCCCTATGCAATGTAAATGAAAGCCATGTTTGATAATTTATTGAAACTCCGCTCAACACGTACAATATCTTTGGGTAGCAATTAAACCATTTCCATTGACAGTCACTTCTTGTTTGTTTTTGGGACTAAATCAACCTGTTGCTCTTAACACTTGTTTTACAGATGAAGTATCTTGGTTTAAAACGGTGTTTCAGGATCCAGATGTTTTATTGTATATCGACTGGCGATCCAACACTGAACCAAAATCTAAACTGACAATTCACTACCAAAAAAAAAAAAGCATGTTTGATATGGCGTGAACCAACCAAAAATGTATGACCCACCAGTTTTAAAAAAGCTATTTTATAATTTTGCTGGTTTGCTTACAAATATTTGTTCCGACCTTCAAGAATCATTGTACACCGGATATATAAGCATGTTGACAGGAGAGGAAGCAAGGTTTGCACATTGTGGTTTCAGTTTGGCACCATGGCCCCAGCAGCATAGGTGGCAATAGAACTTCTGTGTTTTTATGCTTGCACAGGTGCACACCAATGCGTGATGCTTTATTTATACATGAATGGTGCTGCTGATGCTGTCAGTATGAATTCATATAAAATATTGCATGTAGCCTGTAAAGTGCTTAGTGGCTACTCGCCTAGAACACTTTTTCGCGTTCTACTGCACAGCGTTCTAAAAATTGTCTTTTTGATACTTTGGTTTTTCACCTTGTTGTGACTCACGTTTTTGCATTCCGCTGCACTGTTTTTCCACAGATTTTCTATTTAAACATGCTAGACGGACGTCTTTGCCTTCGCATTTTGCATGAGACATCATTATAAAAACGCAGCTCTCAAATAGTCTAGACCTTGCTTTTTTTTTCATTCCACTACCCTGTTGCTTGTTTTGTGCATTTATCTTTTATTTTTTTGCTTTATGCTGCTTTTCAATTGCATTTCTGTCATGCGCTAATAGACATCTTTGACCGTTTGTCTCACATCTTTTGCAGCATCTCACCAACGACATGTTCTGAAAACGCAGTGCTCAAGATAAAAGTTCCACTTCGCATGTTTTTTCCCCCCTATTGCACTACCCTGTTTCTTGCATTTTTGCTTTCCACTGCGTTGCCTTTCAATTTTTTTTCCTATGTAAACATGCTCTAGATGGACATCTTTGACCTTTAACCATGCTTGCATCTAGCTTTTTTTTTTAAGCATTACAGACACTACAGTGTTCCAAAAATGCAAACGTCATGTTAAAAGTTCAACTTAAAAAAAAAATTAAAAAAAATCTCTAGACCTTGGATTTTTGCATTACATTTTTTCAGTAGTTTTTCTATGCACACACTAAGACAAACAGTCATTGAAAGGTTGCACTCTTGTCTTTCATATTTTGTGAATTTTATTATTCTAAAACCAGCTCTCTCAAGCTGAAAGAACATTCAACTTTTTGAAAAACGCTAAAACGTGTTCTGTGTGAAGGGCCCCTTAAAATGTCAACTACCATTTTGCCCATGCTCTCAAATCCTCATAAACCTTTTGAGTTGGAAGTTGTCTGTATATGGGACAGATATTGCACAATCGTTCTCTCCAGTCTGTATATAATTTGACCATATAGTCTTGCCTCCAGTTTAAATATGCATTATACTTCTCTGGATCTTTAGTTAGGCCTCTCAAATACTCAGCCAGGGCCTTAATTGATTTAAAATCATCCACATGGATGAAGGAATTCGGAGGCGCCACGGCTTCATAGTCTCTGCGTGGCGGTCCCAGCACCACGGGCACGGTCCCAGCCTGGAAAGCGTTTCTCCATAGCTTCTCAGTGATATATTGCGGAGACTGTGTGTTCTCAAAGGCTAGGTAGAAATAACAGCGTGAAATTGTTGGAAGCAGCGCCTCCTTCGGTAGAGGTTTTTTGGCGGAAAGGCCATACAGTTGCACGTTGAGGTTCTTGTTTAGCTCCTGGAACACTGCACTCCTTTTGTGCCATTTTTGGTAGTTGGTAACCACCCAACAGGCTTCATAACTCTTGTTTTTTGGGATGATAAAGTCTAGACCTGGTTTCTTTCTCTGTAACCGCTTCCCATAGGGCACAGTGACGTCAGCATGAGAGTGATATGACATGGTGAGGTTGAAAAGGTTGTTGTATGGTGACAAGTTGCCGTTGTTTTGTGGTGCTTCTAAAGAAAGCCATACCCACCTCTGTTTGGCGGGCCGACGGAGATGCACTGGAAGGTGCTGTTTATGCAGCTTCAGCTCAAAGTGATGAAAGACCACTAGATCAGCGCTTCCATAGAGAGTGCGATTGTCCATTAGCACACATCCAGAGATGCCGTAGTCCTTCAGACACACGTCACCTGCAAGGCTGTACCGGGTGCCATACGGCCAGTGCCATAACAGGATGGTGATATTATTTGGGAGTGATGCATTGCTGCCATTCAGATGTTGTTGTTTATTAACCACCAGCAACCAACTGTAGATAAAGCTGATGGCCAGGAATAAAACAAGCAGAGTCTTTGGGGGTTGCAGATGCGTTTTCCTCCACTTTGCTATACATCTTATGCTGGAGCCCATAAGTGTGCTGTGGAAGTAGCAGAACTGGGCATTAGTTTGTCGTTTTGTTATATTTTTGTTGGACATCATGCAAGGTCTTGGCCTACAACTTGTGGTTTTGTCAAAGTCAGTATCCTTGTCATTTTCTTCCTTCCTGTAGATGACAAGTGGAGTGACCAGTAGAGGGTGTGTCTCTTCACTCAACCAGAATCCCTGGTTCTCTATCTCGCTTTCTATGTCTTTCAGTCAAGAAATTGTAATGCCATGCAAATGCTGTCAAAATTAACACAAGCACATCAGGAAATGACATTTTCTTAGTTTTTTTTCTTTTTTCTTTGCTAAAAGCCTAATGTGGTATCTGTGCAAAAAAAGTTCAGAATAGCTCTTGCTACACAATCAAATAGAACACAAAGTACTTTTGAATCGGTGTTCGTATTATGTATAAACTATTATAGTATTTATTTATATTTTGAATCCGCTTTTATTCTATTCTGCTTTCATTTGAATTTTAGTTTGTGCTTTTTGTCATTTTTATTAGTTTCTGTTTAGCTTTAATATTTATTTCAGATTTAGATGTCGTTTTTGTACTATTTTTAGTACTTTCAATTAGTTGCCAGGTTTTTTATTTTATTTTTCCAAAAGTGTTGTTTTAGTTTGTTACCAGTAATCATTGTTCTGAGAGGGGGGGTTCCCTCCAAATGTTTTAAATCAAGTACATTCAGATGAGACAAAGACTCCAGTCATGTTAGTAGCCTAATAAAACATGTATTTTATATCAAGCATATCTCATATGGGCCACACATGACCCGCCAAACACTTTGGTAATTCCCCTTTCATCAGACACTTGTGTACAAATTAATAATGCAACTGCAAATACTGTACTTCTAAAATAGCTTTGATAAATGAAAACATTTACTTTTGTGCAATGCTGTCAAAAATACTTGGTGCACAATATTTGTCACTCATTTTTGTTTCATTTAACATATAGCTGTGGCTGGACAGTAAAGGATAATGATTGCGTTCCAGCAAAAAAGAACAAAAGCTATTGCACTGACAGTTTCTGCTGAGATGATGCTTTGTACTTCAGGAATGTAAGAGAAAGAACATAAGACAAATGCTTGTACGTAAAAATGCAGAAGATCTATAGAACATGAAAATCTAAAGCACATTCAAATATCAAGGGATGGCAGAATTCTTACCTGTGTCTTTGGGCAACGTGTCTTTTGGTGAAGACCACAGCGGCCAAGTCCTTCAAGAAAAAGTTGCAATGTGGAGGATAGGTGGAGGCTTGTCCTGTCATTTAATGATGGAAAGATTTGCGACATGACTCACTCTCAGGAAACAACTGCTTCCTGTCAAGATCTCTCTGATTTTATGTTCTCCATTTCAGATGTCTTCCCCTCCCATTTTGCATCGCCCCTTGATCATTAAAGCATCTAACATGACACATTTCCTTATTAACAGGTCAAGACTGAAGAATACTGTGTTGCCTTTCAATGCAACCTACTGTATAATAAATGGCTGCTTGATGTTTACTACCTGACCTTTAAACAAGCTAAGTATTGAATTTACTACAAACCATGGCTGAAAGAGCAGGACGATTGAGAAATGTGGCATTAGCTTTTTCAATTCTGTGTATCAGTGCATGTATCAGTGTCTGTTGTGGTTTCTGAACTCTGTGCAGAGGGCACTAAAATACTACAGGAGGAAGTGAGTGTTTACGAAACTTTTTGCTTCACTCTCACACATTCATCCTCTCCTTGTAGCCACCTATGCCTTTTATTTAAATAGAGAAGTGAAAAGTGACTGTTGCAAACCATGTATAATGTCCCCCAAGAAAAAAGAACTGTAGAAATATGAGTAAAAACAATGTGATATCACTGTTGGGCATGCATGGGGTCTTTTGAGAGTTTCCATCTTATAATATATAAAAAATACATTTATAAATCAAGAGAGAGACAACGTAAAGAACAAAACTCGCTGGATAATGACAATTTTCCACTGTAGTGCTGCTTTATAAAGCCCATTTCATAATTCAATGAACTTTGCGCTATTATTGAACTAAACTGAATCATCACTGAACAAGAAAACTATTTTGCGAGGTGGTGATTTCGTATGAATTCATATGAGGTGAATCACACAAATATAAGATTGTAAAAAAAAAAGTAACCATAAAGGCCGTCCCTAAACATAACTTACACATGGGAGTCATAAGAAGAGATCAGAAGAATTCATATGAATTAGCCTCTAATAGTTAAAACACAAAATATGATTGCTAAGTTTGTGTTGTATAGTTGAACCATTGAACTCTTGCTTTAAACAGCAGACCAAGCATTGCATCAAAGACCTACTGAAAATATCAGCTGAGCTCAGCATGACTTTTTAGAAATGCTAATGTTGGTTGACCAACATGTTCTCTCTGGTGAATGTGGTTGACCAACGCTGTCTTGCAATTTTGTAGTCAAAAACTGTGTTGTTATCCTCATTTCAAATATGTATGACCTTATTTCTTCTGTGGAACATGAAAAAAGATATTTTGACAAATTTCATAAAATAAAATTCAAATGTTGTTTTTGACCCCACTGACTTTGCAAGGGCAAAAACAACTTAAACGTTCCTCAAAATATTTTCATTTTTGCTCCACAGAAGAAAGTCATGTTCTCATTTTGTTTTTGCTGTTGCATGTCAGAATGTCATGTACTCTAATGTTGTGCCTCAGAGTTACATTACCCAAACTCAACACTAGACGGAAGTGTTTGTTTTCTTTTCTTGTTTCATTCTCTTTCTTTCTTTCTTTCTTTTTATTTTTAAAAGAAAACACTAAAATGACCCTTGAACTCTCATCACCCGATTAAAGTGTATTCATTCACAAAACAATGTTTTTAAGGTAAGGTGTTTTTTTTCTCTCAAAACAATAATTTCAGATGTCTGAACAATCAGTTTCTTGTTCACATCAGATTTTAATTTCTTATTGATTTAAGCAAATTGCATGTGTTTTGGCACATGCATGCAAATGCACATGGCTCGTTGATCAAAACGGAGTTGATTCTTAATTAAATTGTCAACCTCGTCACAACTTCTAAACATTCTTTCATCATGTGAGCCATCATATGCAAAATGATCCATTCAATTATCAAAATCCGTGCATGGAATGGAATGGTTGTAATGACTGCTAAGTTGGCAAATGGCTTGCCATTAGGTTTGCAAAGGGGCAGAAATTTTCAGGAAACTTTACAGATTTTTTGGAAACTTTCGGAAAAATGTAAAATTTTTGGAAACTTTTGGAACGTTTTCAGAAATTTTTCAGAAAATGTAGACCCCTTTGCAAAAACGTCTCAACCCTAAACAGCAGCAGCTACAGCAGTACTGTAATACATTTATATTTGTACGGTAGATTTATCTGTAGAAATATGTTACATCATGTAAACTGAAAATTCACAGTTACTTACTGTGGAAGAGGAAGATGTAAGAATCTAATGTAAAAATGTCTCTGAATGTTGATTTAGAGGAATTTAAGTGAGGAAACGAATATCATGTCTCGAACATAAAACAAACACAACAGAACTATATAAAGGCTTTTTACGTGAACACATTTAAACTAAAGGATTAACACTTTCATTAATTTAAAACACTATTCCACATAGGAAAAACATACATGCCAGCTATACTGACCTGATGCAGACACATAGCTGAAGGCTGATTGATATCGTCTTGGTCTGGTCTGGACTCTGGAGCATACGGTGACCGAGAAGTGCAAAACAAATCACAATTCTGAAAACAAAATAACAAATTACAAATGCAAGTCTAAAAAACAAAATAATTCAGAAAGCACAACAACAATTCAGAAAACATTATAACAAGTGAGAAAACACAATGACAAATTCGAAAACAAAATAACAAGTCAGAAAACACAACGACAAATCCGAAAACAAATCAACAAGTCAGAAAACACAACGACAAATCAGACAAACCGGAAGCGGTAGGTATAGTTTGAGACAGCACCATTGGTTTGGGATTACTCACAGCTGACTGGACGAGACATCTGTCAATCAGCATATACAGGAAGAACCAGCCGAAGAACAGCAGAGTCGTGGGAGAAAGTTCGGAGATGGTATTAAAGTAGCTCAGTTTAAATGTATTGTATGAATTGCCCTTACTATGGAATTAAAAATACGGAGTGTATATTTACATTTAGTTAAAAGTGGCTGTAAGTCATCAGTGGCGCAGATGGATAAGCATGAGTTGTTGGCTTTTTGATGCGATCGACCCGGGTTCGATCTCACCTTTTGCCAAACTTTTTTTTTCTCCCTTTTCAAATCTCGTATCACATCGTAAAGGCATTTATTTTCAATAAAAATTAAGGAAATAAAAGGTAGGGTTAGGGTAGGTGTAGGGAGGGCTTTATTGTACCAAAATAAATGGCATCCATTTAATAATTAAAATGATAATTTACATTCAATACATTATTATTGCATACTGTTTTATAATGTACTACAATACTGAAGTGCAGATAATTGCCACTATTTGATAGTAGAAATCCTGCTATTTTAACATAGTGTAAATAGGTATTTGCACTTAGTGTAAATAGCATATTGCTAAAAATACTGCTATTTTCACTTAGTGTAAATAGAATCCATTGCTAATACAAGATTTGAAAAGGGAGGGAAAAAAAGTTCGGCAAAAGACGGGATCGAACCCGGGTCGATCGCGTCAAAAAGCCAACTACACACGTTTATCCATCTGCGCCACTGGAACTGATGGTATACAGCCAAGTTTAACTAAATGTAAATAGACACCCAGTGTTTTTATTCCACAGTAAGGGCAATTCATACAATACATTTAAACTGAGCTACTTTAATACCATCTCCGAACTTTCTACCACGACTCTGCTGTTCTTTGGCTGGTTTTTGCTGTATACGTTGATTGACAGATGCCTCGTCCAGTCAGCGGTGAGTAATCCCAAACCAATGGCGCTGTCTCAAACTATACCTACCTCTTCTGGTTTGTCTGATTTGTCTTGTGTTTTCTGACTTGTTAATTTGTTTTTGGATTTGTCGTTGTATTTTCTCACTTGTTATTTTGTTTTCGGATTTGTCGTTGTGTTTTCTGACTTGTTATAATGTTTTCTGAATTGTTGTTGTGTTTTCTAAATTGTTATTTTGTTTTTTAGACTTGCATTTGCGTTTGTAATTTGTTATTTTGTTTTCAGAATTGTGATTTGTTTTGCACTTCTCGGTCACCGTAGGAGCGAGATAAGGTAAGGTGAAAATTAGCGGGACCGTCTCAAAACTGGCCAAATGGCAGTTCCACTTTTCACCACAGATTTACATTGTAAAATTTGTGGGGCGCTGTTGAGTTCGGGAGGACGCCGGTGTTCTGACAAATAATGCTACCTATCAACAGGTGACAAATAATGCTACCTATCAAATTATGCTACCAACACTGTATTTATCCTACTGTAAGGGTAGGTTTAGGGTTGGGGTAGGTGTAAATATTAATAAAGCCTCACACCTTACGTGCCTGCCGAAGCTTGCGATGAATTTTAATATATCCTGCGCACTTTATGACTTACAATTGTCAAGAAAATCCGAAAAATATTTGTTGCAGAATGCTGAACACATTTACAGTTTATTATTTATTCAGTTTATACAGAGGTCTATGTTTTGGGTGAATATTTAGCCGCGCCTGCTTTTGGCATCTGTAATTACCCAGGTAATTTTTACAAAGGGTGATACCCTATTTTTCCAGATTAAAACTGGTTCAGTCGACGTTGCTTTAATTCATTACTAATAGTTAAATGACTCAGACTATTTTGAACAAAAGCAGTGTGGTGATTCAGGACATTTGTCCTCTGTGTTAACATGTAGCTTGTGTTTGAATAAAGTATTTTGGTTCATTTGGCGATTCTTACAGCTACCAATAACAGAATAGGGCTTTTAGCTCTTCACCACATTTAAATTTGGCAGAATTTCACAGATTTTCCCAAACATCAGTGCACAAAACTGTAGTAAATAAATTCAAGGACATTGGTTTAAGGTGTCTAACATTTTTTTTTGCATTTTGAAACACTTGCCATGTTTCTTCTGTGAAAACAAAAAACGTTGGTGTGGTTACAACATATTTAAATTTGGCAGAATTTCACAGATTTTCCCAAACATCAGTGCACAAAACTGTAGTAAATTAATTAAAATCATAATGTTGGCATAATTCAAGGACATTGGTTTAAGGTGTCTAACATTTTTTTTGCATTTTGAAACACTTGCCATGTTTCTTCTGTGAAAACAAAAAACGTTGGTGTGGTTACAACATATAATACAAATTGAAACACTAAGTATTCAAATTAATGGTTTGTCATACACGACTAAATGCCAGAGTTGTCACACCTCATACCTGTAGAAAATCACTCTCTCCCGACCTTTTTTTCACTGGAGTATCATTACCATCAAACAAAATTCAGATCAAGGGTCAAAGTTCTTCAACAGTGATCAACAATACATTAATTAAAAGTATCGTTTCAGTTTTGATGGCACAAAATATAAACCAAATTACCATATCCGCAGAATAAAGCATAGCGTGT